TGTGTCTCCATTTTTATAATACAAAGTATGAATTCTTTGAATATCGAGTTTCTTATCAAAATTAAAAAGTTATCTATTGTACAGTATCAATTATGAATCGATTGTTAGACTAATATCTAAAATAATTTACAACAATTTTAAATATCGATTTAAGTAATTAATTTGTTCTTGTTTAAAGTTCCTCTCCCTTCTTCTAATTAATTTGTTTAGTTTACTTCATTGATTGATTTTCAATTATTCAAATTAATATAAGATTAACAAGATTTATACCTAACTAAAATATTTAAGTAGGACAATTATAGTGGCATCTAATTAAAATGAGAATATAAATTGCCTCTTATTTTCTAATTTTGTGGGTTATTATTTATAAGATTACATGCAAAAGAACATATTTTTAATTTTTTTAAAGAAATAATATTATGCTAATTTGATTATATATATAATTACCTAATATATATGTTATATTATTGACAAATAATATCATAATAACATAATTTAGATTCAAATTTTTATGTTGTGTATATGTAAATGTTATTCTTGTAAAACCCTAGGGCAAAATAGTTGCCGCGGGGGTGGGGGGTGGGTGGGGTGGGGTGGTAAGAGGGTGGGGGAGCTGGGAATAAAAACTTTCACCAACCCACCCAAACAAGTTAGGAACAAATTAACAACACCAACTAAGATAAGCAATAAATGAGAATGATGCTAAACAATAAAGATGAACAATAATAAAGAATAAATGAGAGAGAGTTAAAAATTAAGCAATAAATAAGTGCAAATGATAATGATGCTTCAAGTATTTATGCAATGAATAATAAATGAGTTGAGAGAGAATAAATGCTCAAAGATTTATAGTGATTCGGAGCTCTACCCACAAACGTCCTATCCACTTCTTCAAGGTAACTTCCTTGAAGTTCCACTAAAATCGAATTGCGCCAAACACACTAGTTAGACAGGATTTCACCTCTTACAATAGTTTGACAAAATTTCACTCTAGATTTACAGGATTTCGCCCACAAAGTGTTTGATTAAAAGTGTGAGAAAGATTTCTCTTAACTTAGGCTTGAACACTCAATAAGAACAATACTCTCAAAGGTATAGAAATGAGTGCAAGAAAGTGATACTTTGGCTTGAATTTTTAGCTCAAGGGATTATGTAAGAATGTTTTGATATGACTTTGAATCTCTAATATTCTCTCTAATTTTCTAAGCAATAAGATGCTCTATTTATTGCTTGTTATTTCCCTTGGATGCAAAGAATCGTTGCTGCATTTAATGCATGTCTAAAAAGCATATAGACACATAGGAACGGACATTCCACCATCAACGGTCGTTCTTGACACCAACGGTCAATTCGTACAGCTTTAGGATTTCTAGTACGATCATTCCACCATGAGGAACGGTCGGACCATTGGCTCCTTAAAATCCATAAAAATTCCAGAAGCATGCACGACTTCCTAAAACGTTAACAATTAGGCCAGAGCGATCTTTGAGTGTGAACAGTCATTCCACCACGGAGAATGGTCGTTCCACTTTTGATACTTGAACTTCAACTTGATTTTCAAGACTTGTCTTCCAAGATTCATCAAAAGCACAAAGTGTTTGAATTCTGAGGACTTTGACTTTTGACTTAGATGGAATGAGCGTGGTGCTTGGTTGTGCTTCTGTGAGCGACTAAACTCCATTTGGGCTAAAAACATGCACGATCACACGAAATGTTATCATGCTGAGAGAAACGTGTATCTGGGCAACTTTGTAACATTTGTCCTGCACAGTCATATCAACTAGGAAAAATGCATTTTGTTTTTTTGTTATGACTTATTGTCATATCTTAGCATATTAGTTAGATAACCAAACAACTCTTTGGTTAGTTTTGACACATCAAAACATATGAGGGCTCAACAATTCTATCTGTTATATTATTAATAGATAAAATAACATATATTTAATTTTAAATAAATTACATATATTCTTGCGAATAAAAAATTCAGATAAAAAAATAATTAAAGTAAAAGTAAAACCATAATTATACTAATCCTGTCATAATTAATAAAGAGTAAAAATAAATTGCAATATTTTTAAAAGAAAAATTTACCAAAAAAATAATAATAAATTAAGGGGAGGAAATAATTATCATATTAAAAAAAATAACTTGTGGTTAAAGACCTTTTTGTCCTTGATATATTTGCCCCGGATCCAATAAAGTGCCTAACTACCCTTGATATATTTAAATAATTACATAATTGCCCTTTGTATATAAACTCACTTTTTCCACGCACAACACACCAGACACAACCCTTATCCATAGCTACATATCTCGATTCAGCCAGTCAACTGCAAGCATCCTCTCTAGTCTCGTTTATATGTTCAAGCCATTCTCTTGCTTAATTATAAATTTGTAGTTTTTTCATTCTTGCTCTTTTCTTTTCCTTCTTTTCAGAAGGTGTTGATATGTCTATATTTTCCTTATTGTCTACCTTGTATATTCCTTTTTTCTTTTTTCTTTTTTCTTTTTTCTTTTTTCTTTTTTCTTTTTTTTTTTTTTTGGGTAGAAACATTGATTGATGATCAAAACAGAGGTTATGTACCCTCTTAACATAATCTTTGTTAATTTAGTGAAAGAGTATCAATCAAATGCAATATTCATTGGTTTTTGTTAACAGAGGTGTTGTTATGTTGATCTGCAACAAGAGGGCTTTACAAGGATGCTCGACATTTGCCGTCGACGCTCGGTGGTGGTTGATGGATTTTGGGTGTTGGGTTTTTTGTTGTTGGCTTGTAGTTTATTTGCGTTTTGGATGAGATATGTGGTGTTTGATCATAGTTTTGTGGAATAATCGTCGTTCCAGCACTCGCTTAGGTGGATCTTGCCCTTTCCGTCGCTTTGATTGTGCGGTGATGGTTTCACCACCATACAATTGCTGTGACAGTGGGTGTTTTGTTAGTTCTCGAACCTACAGATGTCGACACAGGTGTAAATTTGGTACTAACATTTTTACCTTATCCTTTTCCCCCATCCAATCCTATCCAAATACATAATTGTTTCAATATTTAAAATTCTCTTCAAAATATAATATTATCCTATTCAACTTAAAATATTTAAATTATTTTTAACCTTTTAAATTTATTAATTTACCTAACTACCTCAACATTAAAAATTCTATTCAACTCAAAATATTTAAATTATTTTTAACTTTTTAGGTTTATTAATTTAACTAACTACCTCAACATTAAAAATTTATAAATTGCCAAAAACAGCTACATTCACATTTGTCAGATTTCGGCCACCATCATCGGGAGGTGGTCGAAATCTGTTATAATGGCGTACCATTGGTTATATATAGTCAGTAATGCATCAATCTAACCTTTTTGAATCAGATTTATGACCATCAGATCTGTTGATGGTCATATCTAACCGTTAACGACAATCATATCTTGGGAGCAATCATAGAAGATTTGAGCTTCAACAGAACTTCAAGATCATTATATCCATAACAAACTGAAGATAGTAAGAGAAACAGAGAAATGAGGAGGTGAAGATTATTACTGTTTGTATTTGTTCTTGTCTCTATGAATGTAGTGTTAGTTCAATGGATACAAAGTAGCCAGAAATTGTGTAACGGAGTGCCCTGTTAAAGGAAATCCGAAATCGCAGCCTCCTAGAATCATAATTTGAAAGAACAAACATTTTAAAAATCAAAAGCAACCCATAAAAACTGAAAGCTAAGCAGCCTCCAAGATATGGCCATCATCAACGGCCAGATCTGGCGGCCGTAGATCTGGCCTTTTTCGGCCAGATCTAGTCGGAATATGTCAAATCGGCACACTACCGGTCATATCCAGTCAGTAGTACGTCATTACGACAGATTCTGACCACATTTCGACGGTGATAGTCGAAATTTGGTAAATGTGGGTGGATCGAGGTGTTTTTGTAAATTTATAAACTTTTATTGTTGAGTCTGTTTAATTAAATTAACAAACATAGAAGATTAAAAATAATCTAAATATTTTCAGAAAATGCTATTAAAAAATGTACAAAAAACTTTTTAGAATACTACTCAACTCAACTTTTTCCAAAAGAGTATTATAAAAACTCCCAAAATAATGAACCAAACGGAGCCTATATCTCCAACCTACAGGTGTTGGTAGGGGTGTAAATGCTAGATCTCTAACCTATGGTACATGGAAAATTTCCCGCGAGGATTTTTCCGGAAAAAACCCCATATATAAACCGGGGCGAGGACAAGGGTCACCCCTCCCCCGCAGGGCAGAGACGGTCCCCATCCCTGCCCGCACCCATCTCTAGCTGCCAACACATTGCACATGTCATCAACTCAATATGCAAAATTGTAAAATCTCCTCCAGCATAAGCTCTTCACCTTTTTTGATGTGAAATTTCACAGGCATGTGAATAATCTCATGCCCAACCATGCAAATTAAAACCCACTGCAAAATCTAAATACCCTTACGAGTTAATACCAATATTTTCCCAGGTTCACTACTTAGATATAAAATATAGGACAATGCTATGTGCACTAACAATTTATACTAATTCAAATACTAACATTGAAAATTTAAAATTTCTAAAAAAAAAAAAAAATTCAAATTTTCAATATTAGTACTTGGATTAGTACAAAATGGTTAGTGCACATAGTATTATTGTAAAATATATTAGAAAAACTTTTTCTCCAACTTACAAATTAATTAATCAAACTCTCGTTATCATATTCTTTATATAATTTGACGTTTTTTGAATCCTTTTTCGTTATTATATAGTAGGTATTTTTTATTCTTTAGACTTCTATAATCATTTGTTGAATTCAATTATTAGTATCGTTTAATCAAATTATTTTTATTTATCTTGTAGCATGGCGCCTAGGGGTGTTCGGTTCCGAGTACCCTGCACTTTTTGAAGGAACCAGAATCGGAATCGGAACCAGAATTGACGGTTCTTTGAAATTTGAAACCAGAACTAGAACTCAAATAATTAGGTAAACCACGATATTATNTTTCTATTTCATCTGTTGCTTCTTCATGGTTCTCATTCTTGTCAATTGCAGCACAGTCTTCTAATTCAATTGGATTTATTTTATCACCAAGATCCGACCCATTAGGCTTCTGCTCAGAACTCTTCTTTAACTGCTAAACACCAATATAAAAGCAACCATAAGTAGTTAGAAATATAGAATGTCAAATGAACTTCAAAACTATTTCTTTTCTTTTTTTCCAAAAAAGAAAGAAAAAAGGCTCTTTTGGAGGAACTGGAGAATTTTTTTTTTTTTTTTCCAGCAGCTACCCAGGTAAAGGTTTACCTTGCCTTTTGTTGACTTCTCTTTCCTTAGCTCCAAGGGATACCTACATCCAAAAGAAGTCTATCACTCTAACTACAATATCACACCTCAAAAATTTATGTTGCCCATACGCAAAATCAAACTTAAATGCACCATATTGCAGAAATATCTGGCACCATTACAATTAACCATGAGGTATACTGTGGAATTACTAACATTTTTCTTTGCAAACCTAACGTTCCTCTAAATTGTGAAGCTTTTACAAATAATGAAAGACCTTATCCCATAAGCCAAAGTGCCAAATTGATATCATCACAAATGCCTGCTCAGAGGCATTGACAAGAACTCATATAATCTAGTCTATCACGGGAGGACAGAGGAGAAAGGGAGAGACAAGTTGGGGGGCCTACCATCGATGATTGTCTAATTGGAAGCCATAAAGTTCATTCAAGAATAAGCTCATTAAAACATCACCTACACAGACAAATCAAGTTACAAATATGAACAGTGATGAATTCATTGAAAAGTAAATCTCCAATGTAAGAAATAACATAACTAACTCGTCTCAGATTTACTCAACAAAGCATGCAAAGCTTACCTTCCCTTTCCATATCTACAACACCGCCAAATAGCACAGCACGCTTCTTATGAACACACATGGAAAACCCAGCACGAGGCCCAGGAGGCATCCCACTTTTCTTCACCTAATATAAAGGTAAGTATAATGTTTGCAGTGAAACAGATTGGCAAGAAAAGATATCTCACAAAAGAATAAGTTACTTCAGGAAAATTTTCCATTAAAAGTAAGGCAGTGTAAAAATTGTTTACTTAAAACCATTTACTAATTTGAAGAAGATTAGAATGAAGCTACAGCAGTCAAATGTTAACATACAAATTTTTGAATCATAGTTTCCTCAGATGCCACATGTCTCAGATACAAAAATATGATACTGAAAACTTGAGTAGCAGATACACAAACATACAGAGTGCAAGAAGAAGGCTACTTTTACCTCCTACAAATGGAAATCTTAATACAATATGAAGAATCAGAAATCATGCCAGACTCAAGTTAATAAACAATCACTTATTCAACCTAATTGAGCATAAATGCTAGCAAAATACTTGAGACACTCATGGGTGAAGATTTTAGTTAAATTATCATCAGTGTGATACTTTTATTTGTGCAGCAAATATCCGGCATAAAATATGATAAATTTATTTGAATAACACAAACATACAGAAAGAGAGATGGCAAGAAAAGGCATAGACATAACTCATACAAAACTTGCTAAACTCAAATTAGTCACATATTGATCAGTGTCATCATATATCTCATTGTAGTGAACTAAGTACACTAAAGCTGAAGAATATAATTATGTTTATTATTAAAATAAAGGTTACAATAGTAAAACTTGCAAATCCAAGGTACAACAAGTTTTAGTTTTGCTGAAATGAGTAGGTGGTTCAAATTATCTTCATTAAAAAACTATGATGATGGTCCCCTGAATTATAAAAACAAGATGATCAGGACATATAACCAAATATTTAAAGTATCCCAAGATTGGAAAATGTTTTTTCAGTGCTTACATCCATTATCAAATTCCATTATATGATTATCAATATAAGTATCTGAGCTCTATGTTAACATATTATTACAGGGAATGAATTTAAAGGCAGCATGACAAATTTCACATATGGGGGATGCAATTCTTGGACTCACTAAATCAAGCTCCTCTTCAAATCTTAACCATCGAAGATAAAAAAGAATACAAACCTTGTTCCATTCCCAAGTCTTAGGATCAAGGGACCACAAGTCTGAGTGAACAATTCCTTTCTCAGAATCATTCTTGTCAGATACAACTTCTTTGGAATAGCCACCATATAAAAATATCTGCAAGAATTAACGTAATTAGTACAGATGTGATCAGTTTGTAATTGGCATAAAGAACTATAAGTTATGCTTGGAGGAAGAACTAGGACTTAAGCATATTTAACTTTATGAAAATAAAAGATATAATAAGCAATCAAAAAAAAAAGTATGCAATACTACAAGCAAATAATTATTAGTGTAAAGGAAAAACTGTTTAATAGTTCCCCTAATTACTTCTCTAAGCATTAGAGATGACAATAAGAATGGATTTACAGAACATTAATAAACCCCTGAAGATAAACTACAATAAATTTTCCTCAAGTCCATCCAATGTAACAATCTAAATGGTAAACGATGCCCTTGTGGGCTTGCAACAGTGTTTAGGAGACAAAAGACAAAAGCAACATCTGTAATAGCCATCAATCAGAAAAAAACTTAAGCACAGCTCTGCAATGGTTCTAACAAAGTGAATATAAGCACACTCACCTCATCCTGATAGACAAAAAACTGAAAGCCACTCCTGGCACTCGGCCACATGGAACCAAGCTTAGGCTTGATTTCTTGCCACTACAATACCACATCACATTACTTTCAGTGAAGCATACGATAGAATTTAGAAACATAACATATAATGACCTCACAGTAGTATCTTACACAACGAAGCTAAATATATTCACCTTGAATTGGTCAAGGTCAAAGACATGTAAATCATTGTAATACCTGCACAAGAGTAAAAGATGCATTAACTTTTAAATGGCATATTTTAGCAATATCAAATATTACATCAGCATTCAAAGCTCCATTCAAATTAGTGATGATACATATTGCAAGTAACAATCATAGACATTAGACCTCAACGTGCAACTCCATGACAGTTATTGAAACAATAAAAAGATTCCAAAACCTTTTTTAGCCTCCACATTTTGGAATACATCTGTCCAGAATTTTGTTAGATTTTTAATGGTGCCAAATTATTGAAATATCAAAAGTTAAGAGCAGAAGAAGACAAATCAATAATCTGAACAATGTAAGTTGATCAACTCGCCAATAAGACTTAAGTGACAAAGTATTATTATTCTATAAGGTCGTTTTAGATTTTACTTACAAATAACTGTATATCACGGTTATACAAAATTAGTCTTTACAAATAAAGTGACCTTATACACATGATGATGTAGTCATCGTCACTATTAAAATGAACTAAACCCTTTTAAGAAAAGATGTACACCTAATAGTGGCCAAAAAAATGTAAAAACAGAAAACAACAAAGGAGAAAGAACTCTTTGATCCACCTTATAAATAAAGATGCACTATATATCCAACTGTTATAATACATATACCATTATACTCACATCCTTGCCACCAGTTAAATCCCTCACCACAACCCTATTCGATTGAACCCAAGCTCCTATGTCAGTTTGTTCAAATCTAAACACATTCTTTGAGAAAAGCAACCAGCCAAAGCAAATTTTCCTCAAAAAACTACAATAAAATGCATTCCTTGAATAATATAACGTATATGAAGGCAGACTGTAAACTTTGCTATATTTGTCTGTTTCAGTTAAAATGATCATCCTCAAAGAAATCATGAAGAACCTAAGCAAATGCATTGGTCTTTCGAGAAACAGTGACTCTCCTGGAAATTTTCAGAAAGAAACAGAGCTACAGCATGGTAAATCTGCTATTAAATTGTCCATAAAAGATTGGGATATAGAATGTAAAATTCAAGCAGACATAGACAACCAACACCAAAAGTATGAGTTATAACGACAGAACTCTTAACAAAAATTTGTAAGGACCCATCAACAACCTTACTTCCCTAAGAGTGTCATAGAAGCCACCAAAAACAAAAATCTTGTGCTTGTATAAAACCTGTAAAATAACCAAGGATACCAATAATAATATTAACTACTAAACCAGAAAATTATTGAGAGAGTTTGGATGAAACAGAACTTAGATTAGGGTATTTTCCCTTTCTACAACTTTTTCAATTTAGCCTTGCACCTAGTGCAATTGGCTAGAGGGCATCAAGGCTTTTCACATTTGTGGAAGTGCAGAATCTAATTTGAAATTTATTTACACAAATTTAGCCTTAGAGCTGATATATTTGTTTCTGATTTAACTGGCATTTATCAGTTGCAACCATACATGGGAACAATAATATGAAGTTGGTATATTTACCAATAAATTTATGAACATAAACTTTCAAAGAAACCTAAACTTACCATTCGATGACCTGACCGTGGACTAGGACACCCCTTCAGATTCAGTTGTTCCCATTGATTTGTCTTCAGGTCCAACATCCAAAAGTCCTGTAACAACAAAATTCAGAGGCAACACAAGATACAAAATAATTGAAATTAAAACTTAAGAGAGAAAATGAAAGCAGAAAAAACCAAGATGAAATAGGTTTCACCTTATAGTGATGGAACCGTTCTTGATTTGGGGATGTAAACTCACCACCTACCAAGAAGCAAATGCATTTACATAGGTAACAAGAGAAAAATAAGCGCTAGTGAGAGAACAAGTTTGTGAACGTAATAAGCCAAAGTTTTGCGAAGTTTACCAAAGATGTAGAGATAATTTTTCCAGGCAACTGCCTGATGAGCACTGCGAGGAGGGGGACTGTTGGGGCTCGAAATCAACTTCCACTCCTGCTTCTCCACATCATACCGATAAAGATCACCGTACACAAATGTCTGCACCAATCAAAATTTACCATATTTATTAGCAATCAGAAATAGCAACATCTATTTACTGGGAAATATAGTCATATCAAAAAGACTACCGAAATTCTAACCTTATTGCCATTGTAAAATTCACCTCCATAAAGTATTAACTCTGTCTCTTTCAATGGATTTATGTTGAGCTAAGCAATTAATCAATAAAGTCATTGTAAGAAAGGAAACTGAACCAATTCAAAATAGTCATTTATAGAAAAGATACTGAAACCAATTCAAAAACATAAATAAAATTCTGAAAACCGTAAGTAAGAACATTACTGTACAGTTAGATCGGCGAGATGGTGCGGGAACATTTTCTTCGATATGGACCTCTTTCTTCTTAGCTTCCTCTTTCTGAATACTCAACTGTGAAATAAAAATAATTGAACAAGTTAAGTAGAGGGGAAAATAAAAAAGAAATTGATTTTTGCAAATAAATAAATAAAAGAAAAGTAATTTAATGTTACAAGAATGGCGTCAATATCATCTTCAGGAGAGAGTTTCTTGGACTCCCTGCGCGCTTTCTTTTCTTCAGCTTTGGCTGTTTTTCTCTCCGTTTTTTCTTTGCCTTTCCCAGGTTTTTTGTTTTTCTTCCCCATTTTTTTGCTTCAATTCTTCGTAAACAAAACTGAAACTTTACTTTGAGCGCCGGCAGTGCAGGCGACGAGAGAGAGGCAAAAGCAGAACAGAGGTTTCAAATGATGGTGTTTCACGTTACGGCGCCGTTTTGATGAATAAAAATTTCCGCCCACCTTTTCCTCTCAATGAACGAAACGACGTAGTTTAAAGTGGAGAATTTAGCAATGTGCTTACGTTTCTTTCAAACAACAGTTGGAGCTGGAGCTGTATCGTTAACTGGAACACCAACAATGGAAGACACGTCGTTTGAACTTAAAGGAAATGTCATGGCAGACATTTCATTTGAACCCAAGAATGGCATCTCATTTGGAGTTGCAGCTGCATCATTGACTGTATGTTTCAGACATGAAAAAACTTTTGAAATGAAGGGAAAACTTGCAGGTGCGTAGGCGTAGCACGAGTTGGGGTTTCATAGAAGGCGATGATATGAAGAAAGCCTATCATAAGCTTAAACTTAGCCTCACTGAACAGTGGACTACATTGGTGTTGAATGCAAGTACAAGAACGTTAACTGGGCATGACAGTTAGCAAGAGGCAAATGTTAATGCCCCATTTATTAAGTGACAAGTAATGCATTCTTCCACTTAGCCCATTTTTGCCACGTGGTATAAAGGGTGAATTTACTTTAATGTACAACTCACTCTTAGTTAGGCTCCTCACATCCATGATAAAAGTGCGATCATGAATCATGGTAGTATATGTCTTATTACAAGAACACTTCCTCTCATGGTAGTATATGTCTTATTACAAGAACACTTCCTCTCATGTATTACGTGAATTATCGTATTTATAATGAATGATAACCCGACTTTATGAAATCATATTTAATAATTAATTATTGCGTCAATTTTATTGTCTTAAATACAATAGGCATCTATATTGTCAAAATTATATGTATACACAAAATTAATAATAGAAGACTTTAATCGAAATTTTCAAATTTACATTTGCAAAGCCTTAAAATGATTTATTAACAAAATAATTTACATAAACTCATATTGCTTACATGAGCCACACACACCTTGGGGGAAAAAATTTTGGTGAAGGGATCAGCGATCATATCATTTGTGTTAATATGTTCAATTGATACATGACAATCTCGAACATCTTCTTTAACAATAAATACTTTATTTCGATGTGATGACATCGATTTACTTAACATGTGTCGTTAGAGAACCGTAAAGTTGTTGTATCATCACAAAATATTTTTATTAATCTTTCTATTGATGAGACCACCTTTAAATCTATGATAAACTATCTTAACCAGGACACTTGAGAAACTGCTTCATAACACACTACTACTTCAGCTTCCATTGTGGAATAAACTATCTTCGGTTGTTTTACACCACGCCAAGAGACTCTTCTTCCAACAAGGAGAAAAGTGAAGTCTGATATAGACCTTCTTGTGTCTTAACATCCAACATAATCTGAATCTGAATATCCGATTAACTTTAAGTCATCAACATGCTTATAGACAAGTATGTGATCTTTTGTCCCTTGAAGATTTCTCAATACCATTTTTACTGCTATTTAGTGGGTTAGACTAGGATTTTGTTGAAACCTATCCAAAACTCCCACTACATATAAAATGTAAGGTCTTGTGCAAACTTGAGCATAATTTAGACTTTCTATTTCAGAAGCACAGTAAGTATTCTTCATGGATTAATGCTCTAAATCAGTCTTCAGACATTGTTCAATACTAAGCTTGTCTCTTCTTTAACAATAGATGTTACACTTGATGAACAGTGTTTCATATTGAAACACTCTAAAACCTTTTCAATGTAACCCCTTCGAGGCAATCTTAAGGTCTTTAATGACTTGTCTCAGTGAATCTCAATGCCTAAGACATAAAACGCTTCACCCATATCCTTCATATCAAAGTTGTGAGTTAAAAGTTATTTTGTTTCATGTAGCATTCCAAGATCATTGCTAGCTAAGAGAATGGCATCCGCATATAGTAAAAGTATAACAAAACTACCTCCTTTTATCTTGATGTAAATGCATTAATCAACTTGAGTTTCTATGAAGTCAAATGGCAAAATAGTTTTATCAAACTTTAAATATCATTGTCTTGAACCTTGCTTCAAGCCATATATGGATCTCTTGAGCTTACAAACTAAATGATCTTTTTTGTCCGAAGTGAATCCTTCAGGCTGATCTATGTATACCTCCTCCCCTAAATCGCCATTTAGAAATGCAGTTTTAACATTCATTTGATGTAAATCAAGATCATAATGAGCTACCAATGCCCAAAATTATTCACAGAGAGTCTTTTCTAGATACCAGAGAGAAGGTTTCATGGTGATCAATTCCAACTCTCTGGTTATAACCTTTCACGACAAGTCAGGTCTTGTGTCTATCAATTCTACCTTGCGAGTCCCGTTTTGCTTTGTAGACCCACTTACACCTCACAATGAAAGTATTTTTATGTAGATCAACAAGATCCCAAACTTGGTTCTATGCTATGGATTCCATTTCATCCTTCATGGCATTACACCATGAAATGGAATCTCTGCATTTCACTGCTTTCGAAAAAGATGTTGGATCTTCAATAATACCTCACATCTATTTCAAATTCTTGGAGATATACTTGGTAATCTGAAGAGAATGTTGACTTTTTAGTTCTTGAAGATCTCTTTAGACTTTGTTCTATATTTTCATTTTCTTGAATTTGAACAACCGGTTCGACAAAAACTTGCTCTTGATGTGGTACTATATCGTGAATTTGTTTTCCATGAGCCACAAGTAAAAGGATTAATCTTTCACCTTTAGTTGTAGCAAGATTTTCAATTGCCTTTGAGTTTGAACCATTGAGATCAATGTTTCAAGATTGATTACTCCCACTATTATTATTAATTTCTATCAACTTAGCAACCTTTGATTCCACAACTGTAAGGGAATTTGAGGGACAATAAAACTTGTAACTCTTTGATTTTTCAGAATAACTAATGAAGTATCCATTGATTGTCCTTGAGTCTAATTTTCAAAGATGTGGATTACATATTCTAATTTCAGCCGGACAATCCCACACTCAAGTGTGTCACATATTAGGTTTTCATCATTTCCAAAACTCAAATGGAGTTTTAGGAACTGCTTTAGATGGTACCCTGTTCAAAATGTATACAACTGTTTTGAGAGCTTCACTCTATAGGTTTGAAGGTAAATTAGAGTTATATATTATACTTCTAACCATGTCCATGAGACTATGATTCCTTCTTTCAACAACATCATTTTTATCTGGTTATCTAGACATGGTATATTGTGCTTGAATACCTTACTCTTGAAGGCATTGTGTAAACGGATAGGCAATCGGTCATATTCTATGGTTCTATCGTAATATTTTCCACCTCTATCTGATCTTACAATTTTGATCATTTTTTCCTTTTTGTTTCTCTACTTCTATCTTGTATATCTTAAAAGCATTTAATGTTTCGTCTTTATGATGTAAAAGGTAAAGGTAATAAATCTTGAATGATCATCAATGAAAAAGATAAAATATATCTGACCATTTAGACAAGGTGTGAGTGGTCTAGAAATATCATTATGTATGATTTCTAAGTTCTCATTGATCTTTTGGCACCCCTTTTTAGTCTGTTTGGTCATTTTTCCCTTTATACAGTTGATACAATAATTCAGATCGGTGTAATCAAGAGTCTCAAGTACCTCATCATTTTCCAACTGTTTAATTTTTTCAATTGATATATGTTCCAAACATCAGTGCTATAAATTTCTAGATTTCTCATTCAAATATAATCTTTTAGTGCCAGTATGATTAATAAAAAGTAAATTACTTTCAAATGTTAGATCTAAATTTAAAACAAATAGATCATTTAATAAAGAACCACGACCTACAATTATGTCATTTTTACAAATACGAAAATTAGAATAACTAAAACTAACTTCATAATCCTCATAAGTTAATTTAGATATAGAAATTAAGTTCTTTGCAAAAGTAGGAACATAAAAAAGTGTTTTTTAAATCCAACACATGTCCATAATCAAGTACTAATCTATAAACTCATATGGCTTCAACTTGAGATATTTTCTTGTTCCCAGTATAATAGTATTTCTCATTTTGCTTGAAAGTTCTTGTTTGCAAGAAACCTCGCAAAATGATGGCAACATGAATTGTAGAACTATAATCAATCCACCAGTTATCAGAATGAGTATCTAATAATTAGATTCATAACATATCATAAACAAAAAATTACTTTTATCTTTCTTGTCAATTTCTTTATTCACCAACCATTGTTTATATTTTAGATAGTCCTTCTTCATATGTCCTTTCTTCTTATAGAAAAGAATAATGGGGAGAAATTTTAATGCCAGATGACTTCATTGGTATCTTCCACTTATAATTTTTAAAAGACTTGTCTTTAGAGTTGTTGGTTGTGAGGCGCAAACTTTCTATGCCCTCACTTTTTGGTCTTTCCCCCTCCTAAACATACATGACTGATAATTCATTCACTGACTTGTTCTGTGTTGCAAGTTACCTTAAGGTTGCGTTTGGTTTAGACAATATTTTATTTTCAAAAAGATAGGATTATTAGTGATATAGATAACCTTGAACATTAATAAAAAACTCAACAAAAGCAAAAAAAATAGATTAATAGGTATAAATTATTATGTATAAATAATTAATGTGTTTAATTAAAAGTAATTATAAAATACCTAAATATTATTTTATTGAAATGCACTTTACAAGATTAATAGATATAAATTAATAGTATATTTGGTTAAACAGGTACACTTTTGGCAATGCCACATATGGAGGATATTTCAATTCGCACGTATTCTATCCATAATCCATAACAAAAAAAGAAAGAAAATATATTAATTACTCCGTTATTTTTTAAACATATAAATAGCTAAACAAAAGAAAAAATCAAAACCCAAGACCATCACCGTTCATCACTTCCCACCACCCACAATGTAACAGCGACACCATCCCTCAACCCACCATCACGGTTCATCACCACCCATTCACAACCCCACCTCTCAATCAGCAGATCAACCATAAAAACAAATCAAACTATTAAAAACAGCAACCCATATCAAT